CGGAGTTAAACCACGACACTCACACACACTTAAGCACCCTGCGTAGAAGTGTGCGTTTCCAGAGGCTGTTCTGCTGCCTGCAACACGTGCTTCCTGCACACCCCCAAAACTCCGTCAAGAAAGGAGGGTGCCTCAGCGGCAAGACCGTTTGTCCCACACCACCTAAAGCCAGCATCCTCCCAAACCAGCCACTCACTTGTAGGTTGCTGCGCAAGTCAGACAAAAAGGTGACCGGAGAACGGGTTTTGAGATAGGAATCCAAGTCCTTCTTGAACTGAGGGGGCATCACTCCAGTGAAATTGGTGAGTATTCGGGGAGCGATGTTGATCTCACTTAGCATGTCCACCTGTCGGGACAAAAGCAGTCAGCTGACACACAAGCAGTGGCTAGAGGAACAAACCGCAAAGGCAGATCTGGGATATTATACCCACGATGGCTGTTGATTGTTTTCTCCTGCCAGCAATGACAAGGAAACACTGGACTCTGCCAGACTTCGGAAGGAACCTGGTCTCTAATGTACAGACTTACTAGATGGCTGTCTCAAAGAGCGGAGAGTAGAGGATAAAAGAATTCAAGGGTGAAGGCCATGGGGAATTCAGTCACCGCCTCTGAAGTCCCCCTATCCACACCCAAGACAGTGTGGAGTTTGTGCCTTTGTAAACTACCAAACAAGCCAGGAACAGCCTTCTTCAGCCTCCAGAAGTGCTGACTGCATGAGGACTGCAGCTTTGCTCCCACCACCCTGCACTACTCAGGCAAGAAGACTCACAGGACAATTCTACTCATTCCGTAATTAGGAGACCGGCATATGCCCAATGTTTTAATGAGATAACAATTAACACTTCTCCAAGTCCCTCCCCATTACGCAACAGGCTTGCTTCAGAATGCTGGCTCATTATTTTCACGGTAAGACGGCATCCGTGTTTCTCATCACGAAGTATCTGCAGTTCCACTGTGCTGGGACACCAGCTCTTCAGCAGTCAGTCACCTCAACTCCAGGCACCACTCACCCTGCGGGGCACAAGCTACACGATTCGGCACGAGCTGAATGAAACCGAGACAAGAACTGTTGGCTGAGCTTCCAAACAGGAAAGCCACAAAGATCGCTTACGCAGTCGGCTTTTCAGTGCCAAGTGAGACAGTAAAAGCTAAAGATGCCCCTGCTCCAGCACCGCGTGCCGGTCAGATCTGGGGAGGCCGTCAGGTCAGCCTCCCTTTGGAATAAGAAAAGCCTTCTGGTTGTCCATGCACAAGCTAGGTCCTGGATGTAGCAAGTCTCAACAGCCTGTCCTGTCAGGGTGAGCCCCCACAGACCGTGCAAGCGGGTGCCGTGAAACCCTGCGGGCCGGAGGCAAGCGTTATGCTTCCTGCTGCAACAGACCTCCTAACACGGTGCTCTGCAGGACAAGGATCGCGTCCCGCTCTGTACGGAGCCCGTCGTGCACTGAGCATTACAAACTGAAACCTTCAAAACACGCCGTTCTCCCAGACCCAGTAACGTCTGAATTGTTGCATTAATTCAAGTATCAGTTAAACTGTTGCCAAAATGTGAGTCTCCGCCAAAAGAGTGGATAAAGAGTATTTGGGGGATTAAAGCTTCCCATTATCAAACTGGTGACAATAAGTCCTACCTTAAGATTGGGGGTGAAAGGGTCTGGAAGCCTCATGTTCCGTGGGAAGGCACTCAGGATCAGATTCCTTAGCTGAATACAGTTAGGTGGGATCACATCACAGAACCCATAGTGGTAATCACAAAGAAACTCCGGGAAATCATGCAACAACACCAGCAACACACGCAGAGTGCCCTGCGAAACAGAACAGAATATAAAAGCAGTGTGGAAGTGCTGAAACTGCCCAAGAGCTTGCAGAGCCCTCCCCTTCCATGTTGTGTGGTTAACATGAACAGGAAAAAAATTTATAGAACCATAGAACAGTTTGGGTTGGAAGGGACCTTAAAGACCATCCAGTTCCAACCCCCCTGCCATGGGCAGGGACACCTTCCACTAGACCAGGTTGCTCCAAGCCTCATCCAGCCTGGCCTTGAACACTTCCAGGGATGGGGCATCCACAGCTTCTCTGGGCAACCTGTCCCAGTGCCTCACCACCCTCTCCAAGAAGAATTTCTTCCTGATATCTAAACCTCCCCGCTTTCAGTTTAAGCCTTATCTGGGAAGACAGCCTGCTTCTGTCCCACACCACCATTACTGTTATTTAAGAAATAACAGTAAATCTTGGTTTTGTGACCAGAACACATCTCCTTTTCAGACAACTGTGGTTGGAAGTAGCATCTATTCACTGACTTTTTTTACCTTGTAAAGAATTTGCATAGGTTTGGTGAGTTCCACATTTCTAAGGAAAGGAGCCAAGTACTTGAAAAGGTCGATCAGTAACTGGGCATACATAGGCCAACCCTGTCAAGAAAAAGAAACAGCAGGTGGAAAACATGCAATGAAGAGCAGTTATCTTCAAGTCCTATAAACTATAAACAGACTGGCCTTCATATAAAGCTGGATCAGAGTTCTGTCCCACTGCCAGCTCTAGCGGCGAGTGCAGCACAGCTCAGCGAGGGCTTTGGCTGCGCATCGCACGCTACGGCTGCTTCCACACCACTCAACATGCCATACTGCACCGACGGTGTTTGATCTAGACTACAGCTCTTCCAGACTTTGACGGCGGCATGTTGATGGGACTGAAATCACCCTAAATCCCATAGCTTACTGACACAAAGACTCTCCTCCATGCAGTTAGGTTACTGTGAATATGGAAGACAACAAAAACGGGACAGCCATGCTACTAGTGCACTTTGAGATGTGAAACAGCACCACACCAGACAAGCATCCGCGTGAGCTTTTGAATTCAGAAGAGAGAAACTGCAGCCACACCTTCTGCTGTGGTGTATGTGCCAGCATTCTTGCAATAAATATCCGATGGGAGATCAGTTCCAGCCAGGCATAAACAAAACCTGGAGCTTTTGTAGGCCTCAGGATGTGAAATGTGTTACTGAAAGAAAAGTTAGAGCAGGTTAGAAGTGCACAGCAATAAGATTGCTTTTCATAACATCAAGGGAAAACATACACAGCCCTAGAAGCAAGGCATTTGAGCATCTTGGATTTTACCAGTCATCCTCCTTAAAACAAGCAAGTGGACAGTCTACAGGAGAACCAGTTATCCTGAATGTGACTACACCACCACAAAGGCACAGTCAGATAGCCTTCAGGTGAAAAAGTCTTCATCCTAGCAGGAAAGGATGAGCTTTCCAGCTGGTCTCACATACATACCAGAAAGCTGTCAGTGTCTGGAAGTTGATGGTCTCCAGTACATGCTCAGGAGCATTTAATTCCAACAGCAACATGATGAAAATGCGATGGTAAGGAAGCTGCTGAAACTCACTCTGCCGAACATCGTGGTCTTGCAGAAGAACTCCCACAACAATACCCAGAACCTAAAGAGATCACAACATTTCAGCGGTGGCAGCAAGAATTACCCTGCAAGTCGGGCTAAAGATAATTCTTTAATGCAGAAACAACAGAAATCAGATTCCAATAAGAATCAAAAATTCTAGTTACTGGAAGCATTACATACATTAATGTTATAATCTGTACCAGGAACTCCTAACCACTGTATTTTGCTCTTCCTGTCCCATGAATCAGTCCCACTGACTGACTGTTGGAAGGTCTTAACTACCCAAGACTGTCTGGCCATAAACCAAGAGTATAGGCAAGGCCCTCACAAAAACAAGGCAGACACCCAGGAAATTATAAGCCTTGAGCCACACCTTCTAATGCCTCAAACCAACAGCAGCTGACTTTTTCATTTCAAGGCAGAGAGGTGAGTTTCAAGCTTGTTTGATACGAAATCTCTGAAGAACGTCACTTGGCACCCTGCTGCTCCACTCACCAGCTGATCAGTTCGGTGACCAAAGGCCCCATCTGACATCTTAGCAGTAGCCTGCATTAAGGCCTACGTTTCCCGTGCAGCAAAGGTATGCCGAATTACACACTTGAAATGCAACAAGCACAAAAAAGGTTCCCAACCTTATTCAGGAGGTTGATCTTGGTAACCGTGTTGGTTGCCTCCCCAGAGTGCTTCACCAGCAGCGCGATAAGCCTCACAAAGGCATCCAGATTGTGGTAGCACTTGGCTCGAATCATCGTGGGGTTGGCAGCAGGGTTGTGCTGCTGCTCAGCCTGAGCACGATAGCTGATTTCCACACACATTTCAGTGCAAAGGCGGAAAAAACGGGTGATCAGATCATCCGTTTTCAGGATTCCTTGCTGGTGCATCTATCCAGGAAAGGAAAACCCCTCAGAACCATAACCACAGAACCGTTTTACAACTTAATTCAAACAATAATTTACGAAGCACCCAGTTGGCCTGCCACAATTAATTTTTACCACGAGGGATGGGCAGCAATCTCTCCTTCCCTCAAGATCCGCGTTTCAAGGCAACGTGAGGGTGACAACACAGTTCTAGGACAGAGTCCCCCTGATCCCAGTTCTTTTCAACCATCAGCATAACTGAGGAGCCTGTTTCGGTAGCACTTCTGCCACCCGCACTCAACCTCGCATGAAGGAGAGCGAGAGGCAGCAGCAGTTCCATTCTGGAGCTCACAAGCTCTGGAAATGGCAGAGCTCAGCTACTACTTTGCAGCAATGTCCTGCAGAAGCAAACTGCATTTGGGTAGTGAACTTTCCTTACATGAAAATAACATGCAGAGCAAGCCTGGGTGTTTTTTTTTCCTTGGGGAGGGTGGTAGCAGCGTTGTTTCTTAATGACATTTATATCGAAATAGACACCTCTATGTGTTACCCACAGTATTAAAGCCATCAAAATGAAAAACTACACTGTAAGAAACTTCTGGGTTTTCAATAAAGCATCTTAGTTCTAAACTCCCACTGCAGAGATGTATCAGTATCAGAAGGATATTGACCACTTGGAGCGAGGCCAGAGGAGGCCACGAAGATGATCCGAGGGCTGGAGCACCTCTGCTATGGGGAGAGGCTGCAAGAATTGGGCTTGTTCAGCCTGGAGAAGAGGAGGCTCCGAGGAGACCTCATTGCAGCCTTCCAATATCTGAAGGGGGCCTACAAGGGTACTGGGAGAGGACTTTTGACAAGAGCCTGTAGTGACAGGACGAGGGGTAATGGGTATAAATTGAAATCAGGGAGGTTTAGATTAGATGTCAGGAAGAAATTCTTCACAGAGAGGGTGGTGAGGCACTGGAACAGGTTGCCCAGAGATGTTGTGGATGCCCCATCCCTGGATGTCTTCAAGGCCAGGCTGGATGTGGCTTTGAGCAACCTGGTCTAGTGGAAGGTGTCCCTGCCCATGGCAGGGGGGTTGGAACTAGATGATCTTTAAGGTCCCTTCCAACCCAAACCATTCTATGATTCTATGATTCTATGTGAAGCTACATAGACAGCAGAACTGCCAACTCTTAGAGAACTCCTAGTATTTCTGGAGAAACTTGGGGTTTTGTTAAAGAAATTATCTGCCTTCAAAGTTCTATGCTCCTTCATGTCCTAAAGGCTAGTGGAAAGGAAGCAACACTTAAATTAAGCAGGCAAAATTAAGGTCATTTGAGTTCAGTAATAAAACCTTGTTTAATGTAGTTATTACAAAATACTCTAAACCCCACACCTGTCAAAGCCTGTAAGAAAAATGTGTGCATTTCAATTGCTATTTTGAATCTGATCAAGTATGTACAAGAGGTAAACAAAACAGGTGGGATGGAAGGGTGAAGCACGAGAGAAGTGCATTGAGTATTCTGAGTACCCTACGCTGAAGTATGCTTTTAAGTCTCATTTAAGGTACAAAAAGAGTGAGGTCACATGAAGAGGTAAAACTTGCTTTTTAAAAAAAAGAAGTTGAACACAAGACCCACTAAAAACATTCAAAGTTACACAGTAGAAGCCAGACCAACAGAAAGCTGGCTACAAGCCAGTACATGAGGACACTAAATTCACATTGGGAAAAAAAAAAAATCACTGCATGGGTCAACATCTTCATGCTTACTTGAAGCTTCAGTTTCTTTTGGCTGGTAGGTGCAAAAATCTGTGGCATTTCTGTGGTATTAACACAGAAGTGGAAAGAAAACACAGTGCAAATAGACTCAGTCAGGGGCCTCCTTGTAGCTGGCACCAAGGAGCTGCGGGAACACAGCTTTTGGAAGACAGCCGCCTATACAGGGAACTCGCTACCAACAGCAGCTCCCCTCTCGGGCACACCTGGAAAGCAGATGCTGTGCTATTCACCACATCTGTCAAAGTACCCAGGAGTGAAGTGTTGGAGGCTGATCAAATTTAGGCACCACTGTAGCTTCAAGCTTTCCCCTCGCTCTAACGACTCCAGTTAGAAAAAAGGATTCCCTTGTTGCCATGGTCTGGAACAATTCTCCTGTATCTACTGGCAATTTCCTTCTGTAGGCTGACAGAGCTTATCATTACCTGTAAGGAGCAACGTTAGTCAAGCTTTGCTACCAGGAGCATTTTGGAACTATTCCCAACAGCGATCTCAGCTGAAGCTCTTTTCCCACCAGACTTATCCCAAAACTCAGGCTGAAATGACAGCTCGTTGTTACAGTATACGAAGAAAATGATTTGGTGAAGGGTAGGGGTTTCTACAGAATTTGACTACCAAAACTGTGTCTGGTTTGGATGGTAAACGGCGATACACCTGAAAGTTTCAAAAGGATGCCTAACATGGGTTATAACATTACTTTAAAATGGAGGGCATCACACCCTACCGATGTTGAATAAAAAGCACCTTTCTTTCCAAAAGCTCTACCTGTCCAACAAACGCAGAGAACGCTTTGGTACTGTCACGGCCGGCTGCAGCTGAATGGTAGAGGTTCACCCACTCCCTCAGCAGGTATTCTGCCTTCTCCCTCAGACCTGGCGGATCATCATACTCTGAGGCTTGGGAAATTCCTGAATGCATCATGAAATTGGGACCTCCGTGAGCACGGTCAATCATTGCTTCATAGTTTGACCGGACTACTTCCATCAGTTGGGGTAATCTAGAGCAACAGACCAGAGCGAGAGCTGGGTTAACTTCTTCCTGGAAGGTACCTGAATTGGGAGGTCAGTTAAATCTACTTGGAAGAAAGCAAATTATTTCCTGTATCAGGTTTTGTATCTCCCCATCCTCGCTGGAATAGCAGGTCAGCCACGAAAGCAGATACAATCATGATGAAAGAAGGAACACTTAAGTCATACAAGCTTTGAAGTTCCACTCCAATTCATGCAGCGGCATGCTGCAACACAGCACTGCAAATACTAGAAATAGCTTCACCCTGGCAGAATTGGGAAGCCCTAAAATGTCCCAAGATAGTGAGATGGCAGTGCTAAACAGCCTGACTGGGACACTGCGTTTGCCTGTGGTGCAAGTCACGTCGTACAGCAAAGAGGGTCTACTCACAGCACGGGCAGACAAGAGGACCTTAGTTTTGGGACATGCCACTAGCAGCTGTGGTGTTGGTAGCAGCAGGCTCTGCCACCACCCCCAGCCAGCTGCTAGTTGCTCTCACAGCAATCCAGAGCTCTCCAAGCTCCAACCCACACCCTTCCTCAAAGCCAGCAGCAATTGCTTCCACCTCAGGAGGCCTGCAAATGCCACAAGTATCCCCAGATGCTGGGGCAACATTTGCTGCCCAGTTACTTGCTGGTGGACACAGAAACCATGTGAGATTGGGGGATGATTGCTCTGTATGTTCTAAACAGAAAACTGTCTAAAGAAACAGGAAAGATTCTCTAATTTGATGAACTGCTTGTGATTAACAAATTAACGTATTAACACCTAGATATTTTAAAAATGTAAACAGGTAAGTGACAGTTTAACACAGGGCTGCAGCCCTAGGGAAAGGTTAAAGCAGTATGACTGACAGGAGACATGGCCTATGCAGCATTTCAAATCATACACAAGCACAAGAGAAGTAATGTAGTACACGGTATTTCAGTCTCACCCTTCCGGGGCGTTTCCTCTGGAATGAGCATTAATCCTCATGAGTGTCTCAATTGTGTGAAACAGATCTGCCTCTGTTACGTGGGCAACACTCCTCTCATCCACCAACAGGATCTTTACCAACTGCATGGCAAATGCCACAGCCATGTAGTTCAAGCCATTCTCCATGGACTGTCAACACGAAAAAGGCAATTGAGGTTCAACCACGTATCTAACAACGGACTGACCGTAACTTTTCTCCTCCAGAAGAGCAGGTTCCCTTTACCTGAGCCAAGTGAAGGTCATACTGCTGCATGTTCACAAGGTGATTGCGGATTAGCAGCTCCACCGCTTCCACGTTGTACTTGTACTCGTCTCTGCATTCAATCAGGCACCTGAAGGATTTGATTTCTTTAAAAGAGTGTACTTAAACACACTTTAACTGAAGCAACTCATATCTAACACTTCAGAAACTGTGCCATTCGCTGCAATTCACCCCTCTGCTCCAAAAGCCTCTTCTAGAGCATTCTCCAAGCTTTGAGTTGAGAACAGTCACCAGCCTCAAGCACTGGTTGCCCTGCACAACTGGTCACAACCACCCCTCAAGAGCCTCAGTTTCTTCTGCATAAAAAAGCCTCAATTCTGAGGCCAAAGTGGCACATCTGCCTAGCCAAGGCCTGTGCTGCAGGTATATATCACGTCACAGTTTGTGACAGCATACAGAGACATTCTCTATAAAATGAGGAGAAACCCCAACCCAGAGCATCTCTACTGCTTAATTCCATTGAAGATTCCTATCAGTGTTCTAGGATGAAGCAGCATTATCAGAAGATTACCTACTTTTGACTAAAAAAAGCTATTTTCTCTCTGTCCAAATTGCAGCAATGCAAACTATAAACTGGCAAGTGATTCAGAAGAACACAGTAGCTCCCAAAAGATGCTGAAAGCTACACCAGTGTTCCTACTGTCTCGTAACTGACCTAGTAATTTGTTTATTACACCACGGAGATCCATATGCACGGCCGTCCTGCAGAGCCTTCAGGACGAGCAGATGACACTCACGATAGCGGAGCAGGAGGTCAGCATCTGCCCCACTGGTGGCATCCAGCAAGCCCTCTACAGCCTAGAATAGATGCAACCTGTTAGCAGAGGAAAAAACAAGTCCTCTTCCAAATCTTCTGCAAATCAGATCAGCAGACATGCAAAAAACCAATTTAGTCACCATGCTGACCCCTTGATAAGGCTAGGTGAGATTTTACCAGCTACCCCAGCATGTACACATTCCCTGTGCACAGCTGTCCAACCACAAACAAGCCCACGGTCTGTCTATGCCCCATGGAATATGAAGGACCACATCAGTTTGTGCTGCAGTTAAAGTCAATGCCTCCTCAGAGGCAATTCTGCATACAGCTCATGAAAAACTACATGAAAGACGATTTGCAGAACCTCTGAGAAGTCAGCGACCAGGTTCTTTAGATGAAGAGCTTCAGCACTCAGCTGCATCTGAGCTCGACTAGTGGGAGGCGATTCTTGTACAGGGGCGGCTCAATTTATGCACTCGAGGCCTAGTCAGGGCCAGATCCTTTAACAGGTATGAGCACTATCCATCAAGAACAGGCTCTCCCCCTCCAGCTTCTAGTTACTTTTGTTTTGCCACTCTTGGATCCTCATGCAGCCAGCTCAGTATCCTTCCGCTATACTCAAAGGGCTTTTTCTCTGTGTTTATCACTATGCTCCGCAGGCACTGATGCCAGCTCAGCTCACAGAGCTCGCCGCAACCACTCTGGATTTGTGCTGCATCACTGTTGACAACACACCAGTGTTTTGCCAATTGCTGTGCAGCACCAAGGCTTTCCTCTTTCCCACTCTGCCTCCACCCAGCAGCAAATAGGCTGGGGATGAGCAAGAGGCTGGGAGGTGACACAGCCAGGGCAGCTGACCTGAACTGCATGAAGGGATATTCCATACCACATGACATCATGCTCAGCAATAAAGCCTCAGGGAAAGGAAGATGAAAGGGGGCATTCATGGTTGTTTGCCTTCCCAAACAACCGTTACATGCGCTCAAGCCCTGCATTCCAAGGAGTGGCTAAACATCTGCCTGCTGACAGGAAGTAGTCTTTTTTTTCTTGTTTGTGCACACAGCTTTTGCTTTCCCTGCTAAACTGTGATAATCCACACACAAGTCATCTTGCCTTCCCTCTATTTTCTCCCTGTCCTGTGGGCGAGAGGAGCGAGCAAGCAGCTGGATGGACGCTTGGCCGCTGGCCAGGGCCAAACACCACACACTCATTTATCAGTTACTGCAAAATACAAGGCACACGTGTGCCGCTACAAATCCAGTACTCCACTCCACACTACCTACAAGTGCAGTTCAAACATCATCTTAGCTTCCCAATCGCACTGACATCAAAGGCTGTTCCGGACTCCTCAGCTGTTAACACTCACCTTCTGCAGAAGTCCAAGTGCAGCAATGGCATCACGGGAGTTCCGAGCCACCACCACAGCCTCCAAGAGGCTGCGCAACGCTTGAGCTTGAGGATTCATGGTCAGGGTGTGTGGAATGGACTGCAGGTGCTGCTCCAGTTCTGCCATACATTTGTCATAGATCTGTGCCACGTCATCTGTAGCCCAAGCTTGCTGCTTAAGAGAAAATGAGAGTGAGCGACTGTTTCAGGACTGTGTGTGCAAAACTCAACCACTGATTGGCTCTTCTGCTTTGGAAATTACAGAAACCAATATTTAGACCTCTACAGCAGCACGGTTAGGTATGCTGGCATTTTAGATAAGTAGGAGCAAGTTATGTTGCAAAAATAACTAGCAAACAATCCTAGCAGTCCTCAACACCAAGTATGCATACAAAAGCCAGTTTATTATCCCAAAAATCCATGCTTGCCATCCATCATCTTCCCCACAAATAACCAGAGATTTGAATAAAATGTTTCACTGCTGCTAAACCCACATGTAGTAATCTCAAATTGCAGATGTTGTTCCCAGTTGGGTTAAAGACCCCTATCGCTGGATATAAAGGTTCATGTCGTCGTTAGACTTCACAACTAATGTATCTTTCCACCACTGTTCCCAAGCAATAAAAATGCCTGATTCTTACTCGTCTTCTAGGAAAGGACACACAAGTTCTGCAACATTCACCAAAAGGATGACAGTACTCAAATGCCTACCTTCATAGGCTGAGCCAAGAATCCCGTGGGCTGAGTTAAGTCATTGGTAGGCAAGAAGCCAGGGACATTGCGTGCAAACTCTTCATAAACAGCCAGCTGTTTTGGGTCCACACCTCCAACCTTCGCAAGGAAAAGAACAGGCAATAACCTCATTGTTAAGCACCGTGGCAGTAAGAAACGAGGGCAGTTTGTGTAACAGGTAGCTGCTCAGTCATATCCTTAAACAGAGAGGCCTAGACATTGAGAAGTAGGCTTCAGCAGCTCTGCACAGTCTCCTCTTCTCTCCTGCCACACCTCTCAAGAGGAGCATTTGGCTCCACAACTGCAACTCACATTCCCAAAGACAGGAATAACTGAATATTGGCTTCTATGTGTGTCTGATGCACAACAGAAATGCTGTGCTGACAGGACACGGTATGTCCTTTAAGGAAAGAAAATGTAAAGGAGACAAGACAACAAAGCAGACTAGTCATCTTTCAGTGAAAGAACAGCACAGAAGGAGAAACGTGCCTTCTAATGTCAAGGAATTGAGGAAAATGAGTGTTTGTATTATTTTGGAACAACGTATTCATGTGCTTCCATTACTAATCAAGCTAACAGCAGTTGTGCTGTTAGACAAGGCTGACAAATACAGGACTGCTCAGCTGAAGGTGTGCGTGCCATCTACTCTTCATCATCATCAGGAGGGGAGAAGAGCAGCACCCAAACATAGATCAGTTAATATCCTCACCTTTAACCTGATCTGTTCTGGCATCCGCTCAGCCTGGTAAGTTAACACAACAGGATCACAGTACCGACGTCCCTCTTGTCTAGCGTGTTTTCTGAGCTCAAATTCCTAGGAAGAAACACCCAAACATCATGCTGAATTTCAGTCACCGAGTCAGGATGTATATGAGCACTTAGAATACTTTTAAAAGATGGTGGTCCCATACTTACAGTTGCGAGCCTCTTGTCCATCTCAGGGCCTGCCTTTTCCACAGCCGTCTTCTGGATGAAGCAGCACGCTAGCTCACAGTTATCCTGCGCTAACTGGGCAGCTGCCTGCTCCATCATGTCCCTCTGCTGTGGGGAGGCTGCCTATTGAAAACCACAACAGTCAGCGAAGGCTGTACATTTTCTCTGCACATTACTAGCATTAAAATCCACACTGCTGCCTATACAAAACACCAGCGATAAAAAGGAATGCTCTTAGGAATGCACTCTTTGCATGGAACATGCAATAATAAATTTCATTTTGCACAGCTTTGAATAAAACATGTAGGCAAGATGACAGTAAAGACTTTCAACAAGGAACAATCAGCAGGAGCTTCTCCATCTCCTGCACCAATCTATCTCCGGGACAGAGAAATAAAGCCCTGCTTCAGACTGATACATGTACAACAGATGCTAATGCAGGAAAAGCAAAGCCTTGCACCACAGCCTGGAAGTTTTATCCAGTTCCTAGGTTGTGATCAGAAGATGACATCACTAAACATGCACCACTAAAGGCAAAACAGGACTCCTAAGCCTTTTTTCAGTGGGTTCCCGTTCTGATAGAGATTCTCTTCTCTCCTTCTTGGAGCCTGCTTTGAGAGAACCCCGAACAGATGGACTGATTTTCCAGGGTGCAAAGCAGCAAATCCCATTGGGAATGGAATCCACATAAAGGCAATCAGTCCAATCTACTTGGATTTCCTTGTCCGTTATGATCTAACCTCATTTCATTAATTCCTGAAAACTACACTGCTTCTTCCAAACCAAAGAAATCCTTGCTTCTTGACCCACTTCATAGAGTAAACCAGATATGAAATTTTTAGATGTCTTGTACAGCACCTTCTTATGAACAGTGTGTTCTATAATTACTCCTTAAGAAAAAGTCTCCTTGATTACAACTGGCCCTGTACCAATTTCATCCACTTTCAGGGATAAAACCAACTATTTTGCTACATTTTCATATTGCTCGAGTTGTCCTGCCCTCCTGAGCCAGTCACCACACAAGAGTGACCCCCTTGCCAAAGGACCTTTGCACTGTCACTCCCCAACAGATGGGATACAGTGACATGCCCTTAAACAAGGGGTAGGCAGAACTTCAACTCTGCTATCCTTTCAGGGATTAAAAACATGTCTTGATCTTTCCAAGCTCCCTCCGCTCGTCTCTGTCACTAACACTGATGGTAAGCACAGCAAGTATTCTGGGTAGCAGCTGCTGAAGCAGGCATTCTGGAACAATCCAAGGCATCACCACAAAGTCCCAGGATCAATTCAGTCTTTTCCACTCTGTTTTCTACCTCAAAACCCACAGAAAGACACGCTCTGGGGCTTCTGTGATGCCATCAAACTGGAGAGCACAACAAGGCAAAATAAAGTAAATCAGGAAGTTTGTGTGCAGTATAGTGTCAGCACAGTTTTTTCACTGTAATTCCACAAGTCACAAGACACTTGTCCCCTAAGTCCACCTCCACACTAGTTAAACCATGTAATTAATCAACAAATCTACAGAGTGGAGAATTGATCTGCTAATGCTGGATGTCTGCAGCCCTGGAATTGGGCAATAAGCTTCAGATGATGTGACTCTTACCCTCAGTGCAGTGGCAAAACTGTTTTTCAAGTTGGTAGCTATGCTCATCAGCAAAGGTTCCCTGCAGGTAATCATGGCCATCCCAGCTGTCAGGTTCCGCATCATATGGTGCGCGGCCACACGCATCCGTGACTCCTCGGAATCCAGCGCGAAGTCCTTCCTGACTATCTGCTCGCACGTAGTCATGGCGATCTTGATGGACCGATCGACCACCGGATGGACAAGCTCTTGCACCGCTCGCTCTATCGCCTGCCGCACACACTGCTTCAGCTGCGGGTGGGCTTGAAACAGCGGAATCTAGAGGAGGATTTGGGAAGTGAGAATCAAGTAAACTACAATCCCATCTACCTAGACATTCACACTTTCTGAATAACTGAAGCTTATTGTCACAGCTTGTCTGAAACTGGACTATACAACCATTTTTCTTTCCAAGTTGCAGCTGAGAGCACAATTCAAAGGCTAATTAAAGAGTCACTGACTGGTCAAAGAGAGCACAGAAGCTTAAGTCCTGTTAGCAACTATCCCAACTGACACCTACTGCCAGAAATAAATCAGACACTAGTGTCACAGTGAAAGCCCATTGACCATCTAAGATTGCTAACACAACTACTACCCACCCCTAAAGCTCTCTGATTACGTGTTAACGCCCACCCTCCCCATTACTTCTGAGAAGCGACTCTCAGATAACTCCAAGTTACAAAATGCTGCTCCCACCAGCTGAGATGTGTGGCAACACTGGCAGCAAGAATTCTCTTAGCAAACCACCTCAGCTCTAACACTTACCGTTGGATTTAAGGTAATATGTGGAGCCAACCCTCCTAAAGAATAGACGTTGATGTCGTGATAGCTGTACTGGGGCTGTGGAGGGACCGTGGCTGTACAAGTGGTGCTGGTAGCTGGGGTTGTAGAAGCAGCTAGAGGACACAAGAATGTTTGTATGGAGCAGTTATTGAAAAGCAAGTGCTGATAATGGAAGTACATACTGCTCAATTAAACCAGCAAGTGACCAAGAAACAAGCAGTTGGATAATGAAGCTTCCTACTAAAACAATTTTTATTCTCCATTTTCCCAATGATTAGTACCAAACCAGCTTCCGTACGTTTTAGCAGAGCAGGTTGTTACAACATGGTTTAAATCCTGATGTCTTGTTAATGGATCATCCTGCTTGACTCCCTTCTAAGGAGGAGGGCACATCACACATAGTAGCTACACACAACACATCCAGAATTACTCCTCAGGATGGCTTCCATTTCCTTCCCATCTCCAAACTCTGTACACCTACTTCTATTACAAAGCTATCCAAGTGCTGCCAAACATTCAGCAGTGATACAGCAGGGTATGTAGCTTCACATTCTTCTCTGCAATAGCACAACCTGTCTTATTAAAAACTGTGTAGTGCGGTTTTGGGTTCTGTTCGAAATGTACTTACTAGTTGTTGTGATGGGTGGTAGCTCTTCCGGCTGCTTCACATCCTTCTTTGGAGCAGAGAGCTGCTCATCCAGATTTTTCAGACGATCCTTATCTTTCAGGAGACTTCCAGGTTTCAGCTCATTGATGTCTAGTGCAAGATTCTTGCAGAGCACCTCAATCTCAAACTTCAGATTCAACTGCACAACAATTCTAGTTTAGGTTATGTCACAAGGAAAATACCCGAAACGTTTACTGGGCCGCTCGACTCCCAAGCTTCCCATTCTAACCCCATGCCTTTTAGAGACTTGGATAGTGACTGAGGATTAGACAAATATCTTGCATGCTGACCTCACAGGAGAAGAGTTTCATCCAAGCTCTACTAAATTAAGCAATGCCCAATTCTCCCCATGCTAAAGAAGCAAGAAGTGAATTTGGTCCTTCACAGCATCCTTCTTGACTGGTATGTCAAGAAAACCTCACACTCAGTAGGTAGAGAAAAGAAAAACAGAAGTTTACTTTTAGATCATGTTCTTGATGTAGTTCAGCTAAAACATTCATAATGGCCATGGTCCACGGGTTTGGAGGCCTGAAGACCTACAAGACAGAAAAAGGAGGGCAGTATTACACAAACTTTCAAAATCACATGGATAACTAGTGACTGGAAATGTCTGAAACAAACAGCTACGTGTGTATACAGCCGTGGGAAAGTCTGCACAGCTGCAATTAGGGTTGAATTCAGTATTCTGACTGGCACTAGATTAGGGTGCTAGTTGAACATTAAACTGGAAACACAATTATTGGGCCTTCTGACCGCTCATTTCTATGTCAAGCAGAACTGTCAAGAGCTGACCAAGGTCAAAGGAGGGGTGGGAGAAATTAAAAAAGAATAAAACCAAAGAATAAATAGATGCTAGAGCCTCTTCAATGTATCCTTCTATTTCTCAGTGGAGTTCTGTTCAGGGATACCTCAGTACAGCTCAGCTAACGCCACCGATTTCAACTGCAAAAATGCACAGGCCATGTACCTTCCCTCAACATGGAACTCCTTCACTTTAAGCCCTTACATCCCTTTTCTTTTTCTCCATGAAATGCAATCAGTTTTCACTTTGTGAAACAAACTAATTGCTTTCTGCAACACTTATTTTGCCACTTGAGCAGCAATTGTCAGCACAGTCACTTACCACACTCCTGACACTGGATTCTAAGACTTTGGCAACAAATGGCACTACGTAAAGCAATTCCTGACTTCCAGTAGTAGCGATTTCACATCCAAATCCTGAAAAAGAATCAACAGTTGAAGAAGGGAAGAGGGTGGAGAAAACAGCAAGCACACAGCAATAATTCCACTTAAACTATTTCCTTATAGGATATACCGGCAAAGTTGAGTCAAGCCTGTCCTTGGATTTTACAGACTGCTAAGCAGCAGTTACTTTCTGAACAAAGACTTACAGCTACACATTTTTACATGAGATTAACTTCTCTGATAAACAAGAGAGAAACACCAGGAAGGTGATAAAGTTTCCTAAAGAGCTTATGCTGCTGCCTAACAGCATACCAATTCATGGCAAACATATCCATAAAGACAAAAGCTCACCGTGTGCAAGATGGGCTTATTTTTAGCCAGTGTAATCATTCCCAGCCAGTGACCAAGGTTCTTTAACAAGGAACGGTCTGAGAAGTTGGCTGCAGCTTTATCTGATGTCAGTAGCACCTAATGAAAAAAACCCACCCAAGTCAAGCAACTACTGGAAGGTAACCATAGACTCAAAATCAAACGCAACGGCTCATCTGACTTCAGACATGAAGTTTTAGAACATTAAGTTCTGAGCTCCAGAATACTTCAGAGATACTCAAGAGCAGCCTTCACTTCAAGGCAGCACCCCGCAAATCTGCCCTGTAACGGTTTCAAAATTCCTTTCTTTCGAGAGAATCAAAGAGACAATTACACTTTCCCAGACCTTACCAGTTACTCCGTCAAGACTGTTAGGACTTCTCACTTCAAGTACGATTTGTGAAGGCAATTCTTCCACTTAATGCTCCTTCACACACCTGAAGCCTACAACCTGCACTTCTTGGGAAACCATTCCATTATTTCAAGACTTCAACCACATCACAGCATTCTGCTGTTAGTTCTGTTCCTTAGCTTCAGAGGAGGAGCAGCAGCTGAAGAAAGCAAGGTCAGCTATGCTCTGACAAGCCAGGAGATTCTTTTGCACTACAGCGTAACCCATGGTGGTCAGGAAATTCCACCAACAGGTTTAAAAATAGTGCTTGCTTGACAAATTGGTTTCATCCACTCATCTGTTCTGGGCTTCTCCCTCCTCCTACCCTTCACATTATTTTAGCCCTCTAGTGAATTTTGCCTGTTACACCCATCTTTCTAAACTCTCCCCTTCTCTTTTATTCTTTGACAAATAACGTTACTTTGGCAAAAAGTGTGGTTTTATCTTTACACTTTCCCCTGCACAAAAGAACTAGACCATAAGCATCTTGCCCCTGGATGATAATTTGCAGGCATCACGCAAATTTAGATTCCACCTGCTTACATGAAAGCAAATGCAGACCTTCCCCTCTCATTACTCAATTCAAATTAAGTCCTTGGTACATTTCTGACTGAAACCTGAAGAATCCTAGTATTCATGGTTAGTTTAACTGCAAGCCAGCAAGCAGATGTTTTAATGATAGTCCGCATAAGCAAACAGCACAGTCCTAAATCCTTACACCTACTTCAGTACCAGAGAACTTGAGCTACTCACCTTGATATTTCTGTAGGTCTCATTCAGAACCATTTTATTAAACTCTGGATTCTTCAGCGTGTCAAGGAAGTTTGAATATAAGCTGTGAAAATTAGGCTCGATGCTGACTCTCTTCATCACAAGATACTGTGACACCCAAGGCATGAACTCTTCTTTTACTGTTTCCTTCAATTCTTCAACCTGTCACCATACCAGAGGAAAAAGCACACCACAAGCTATGAGAAGGTGACTGCAAACTTCTGGGGTCAGCTCTGACCAACACAGCCATATTCAGTTAATTGCTTTTAACACTATGGTTGTTCTTTCTTTTTTAGATCACTTTAAAGTCAATGTCTCATTATCCAAAGATCCGGCCAACCAGTAAAGACCTAATCATGAAATGAGCAAGGCACAATAGCTCACCTCTCCCCCACTGCTCAGCTTTTTACCAGATGTATGCAAAGTAAGTGTCGGCATCTCGCACTAAAGCTGTCTGTCTGCAAGGCAGACAGCCAAGGTGGCAGCGATACTGCACACTTCTGCCAGTCCAGAAAAGAATCCCTGAATTTCAACTTGGAACACAAGAGTCCATCAGTTTAACTTGGCAATATCAAATGGTACCCATCTCGTTTATGATGTGAATGTCTGTTCTAACTTGTATTAATGGCCTTTCAGGAAGGTGCATTAGTTTCAGTCCTTTCAAGTCACACAATCAGAAAGAGCTACTCAGAAGCACTTTCCTGAAAACAAAGCACTAAAGACCTGTAAGACTTTTTAGTACAAAGGATTTGGCTACAAGGAAACATGGAAACTTGCAGGAGGAAGCAACATTAAGAAAAGCTTGCTTTCACCTGCCTCTCCCTGAAAAACTGTATCTTCAGAGAGGTTCAGATAGGTTGAAAACTACATTTTCTTTGAAGTCTTCTTCCCCCCTAATTTTTTGCAAGTTCGAATTTCTGCAGAAACATCATCATCCACCAGTTCAGAATGGATTTCCAGAAGTGTATTTAAGAACAGAATGTTACTAGTGTTCTTCCATACTTGCCTTCTGCGTCATATTTGACTGAGACAGGTTATTGAAGATGAAAGCAATTTTTTCCTGGACATTCTCTGGAGGTTCCACAATTCTCTCGGTTTGATCTGTTGCTACTAACAGCGTATCAATGTTGGTAGTATTGATGGAAGGCTGGAGGGAGAGCAAGAAGTTAACAACAGACAATACGCAGAGGCAACATGAAAAGAAACGTATGCTCTGTTCTGTCAAGCGAGAACAGACTCAAGCTTTGTCAGGTGACATCTACTGTCTCAGATCCATTTTCAGCAGCGCTCTCATGAAGCCAAGTCTTTTTTTTTCCCTCTAGAAACAACAATCAATACTCAGCAAAGGAGTGCTGCTGTACAAAAAGACTTCTGGCACTTACACACATGTATCGTAGGTGCCACTGCAATGGCACCCCTTCGGCAAATAGCTTGCACACACTGTTAGCCTGGAGAGCACCACTTCGCACAGCAGTGAGTCTCCAGGAGCGCCTCAGTGCTGAACAGGGAAGGAGAAGTCCCAGAGCTTCGCTTCTGACAAAGCACGCCAACTCTAAGTCAACAAAACGTGACCCACGTCCCCACAGCTGCAGGTCTAAACCCAAGGGCTTTAGCACTTGGTGCGTTGCAGGTGAGGGGAAAGGAGATTGAGTTTTAGATATCAATCACGACCCGAGCTGAAAATCGGGCAGTATAAACACCTCGATAACAACTATACACATGACATAATCAGGTGTGAAAGACAGAGCTACACTATGAACTGTCCCCCTAAAGTTGTGACCAACTTTCAGTTTTGACTTACACCTCCTTTAATTTGAGGAGCTTTAAGAGAACTCTACAAAGACAGTATGAGGAAGCACGACAGGCCTGAGTTTGCAGTGCAATGTTATCACAGCAATGTCTGCACGCATCCTCAGCGTACACGTGGGACCAAGTGTGCCCCAACACTCTGTGGAACAGCCAGTACTACCCAACTGCCCACCCCGTGATAACTCTGACTGGCAGTTCAGAGATCTGCTAAGTGACTAAAGAAAACCGAAGCGATTAAGAACCTAACGCAGCGAGAACTGCGAGGTCAGATGTGATTTAATGTTCAGTATTCTCAAGCCCCAAGCAGAATAGCAGTTGCCTACTATTTTGAGTGTCTTATCGCAAGTCATTAACAGCAGCGATGGTTCTGTAACTGTCTTGATAATTAAAACCTCGATAAACACATTTCTACTTGACAGCGCAGTCATTCTATAGTCCCACAATTAAAAATGCCTTCTCTGTACAATAGCCTTGGCTGTATTTTAAAAGGTCATATGCTCAGATACAAAATATGGATCAGTTTGGAAACATGTAGTATAGAAATAAAAACAGATTTTGCCAACACCCAGCAACTTAACTCCTCTGCATCCCCCCTAAGAGCACCCCAGTGACAGAAGGCTTACCGGCACATCTTTCTTGAAGCTGACTCCAGTTGGCCGGGTGATTGTAATGGTTTTTGCCACAGTGGTGGTGGTTGAGGTGGTTACTATAGTGCTGACTTGGCCAGCAAGAGGAGCTTTTGCTGGAACTTGGGCCTGGGCCTGAGCCTGGGCAAGTGCAATACTTCCAGGGGTGGTGATTGATCCCTGCATCTTCACAGGAGGATCTCTGGATTGCTGTCCATATTCTATGTACTGAAACAGGGTAAACAAGCACATACAGAAGTTCATCCTCCACAACAGAACAGTGGGCTGAGTTTTAGTGTGAGCAGTATAAAGGTTCTCCAACAATCTTTAAAATACTTCACACTGATGCCATTAGGGTATTCATTTGCAGATTCTCTTATAAAGCACATCTTGTCATTATTTACTTTCTCTCTTACTGGAAAGGAGCCTCAAGCTCTCTCCCTGACCTCAACAGGTTAATGTCAAGCATCAAGAGACTCAACATCCTTAAAACTTTACAGAGCACTACCCAGAGCTCACCATCTCTGTGGGCCTGGGACGGCAGAGCAAAAAGAGGGGAAGAGCATAAGAAGTGTAAGAGTGTCAAGAAACTGGCTACAAAGCACATAAGGAGCCTTCCCCAAGGAGTCCTACCCTACGCAGAAATGTGAAAGTCTGAAGTTCAGAATTAATAAGCAAAACTGGTTCTGAAATGTCCAACTTGAAATTTCTACATCCTCTGAAGTAGCTCCACAGTAGAAAATAGGTTTCTTCCCCACTGTAATACATTTACCCAGAAATTTATATCATTAGACAACACATTGTCATTCAAGAGATAAGATCACAAGCAGGTTTCAGACTGTGAGATTGCTATTGGCCTCTGCAGCTTTGGGCAGATGGCCACTCTAGCTTAGAGCTGAACATTTTTCCTTATTTAGATTATGCTCTCAAGCTCTGCCACTGACAATAGCTTTTCTGTATTTCTCCCACTGAAAGCACTGTATCACCAACACTGCTATTACTCCCTGGGCTACAGGATACTTCCACTACTCTCAGATCTCCAGGAATAAAATTTTTCTCACCTTTATCTAGATTACTTTAGCAGGTCTGTGTATGAGGCTGTATAAGCCCAACTGAATGCCCCCTGTTTTAGAAGACAACTCCAAATCCTGGAAAGACTAGAATATGAATCCATTGAAGCACATTAAAACCATTGGGCATGGCCATGTGCACTGGTTGATCATGGAGTTACGATTCAGACAGCTATTTCAACATCAGCAATCCGAACAGATTTATGGAAAAAGAAGAGGTACCAGATAACCACCTTCACCAAAATTGTGACAGCTCAGACTTTTTCCAAAGGAAAACAGGAAAACTGCTCAGAATTTAAGAGTCACAGAAAGCCAATGTGCCAAGACAAACACACTCACCTCCTGTAAGTGATGTGGGAACTGTATAAAGTGACTAATAGAAGCCAAGTGCTGACAATACTGGGGATAGTCCTTCAATCTGTCAGACAAAAACACACGTTAGTCAGAAGCATGAGCCCAGATCAACACTGTGTTAGAGGAATACAAATATAACACTGGTATGTCATTCCCAGACTGCACCACAGCATTACGTCTGGACTCCTTACAGCAGCTGTGATATAAACAAAGCATTTCCTACAAAGTACTTGTTGTTGCAAAACCCATTTGAAATGAATTCATTTAACAGCAAAACACAAGGTTTATTCACAGCAACTCATCTTATCCTACATCTTGGTACTTCTGACCAAGCAGACAACTGCATGTCTATTCAGTGTTTGCAAGAGGATTATTGGATAAGGAATTTCTAGTCTGGCTCAGTGTGTATTAAACAGCACAGAGTGCCCCCAACACTCAAGACAGAAGCTTCATCTATGCACACCAATTATTATAGTTCTGCTTATGAACGCTAGATGCTGTTACTACTCATTGGAGAGAAAAATTTTAGGTCTCACTTAAAATGGTTCTTAAGAGGAGTAAGAAAGTGGCCAAGTCTCAATTATGTCAGCCTTAAGTGCCTCCATTCATGCTTTTCAGCTAACTCCACAACACAATATCCAGCAAAAGCTGTTGCCTGCAGCATTTATCTACAGATGAAATACTGCAAGGCAGATGCCTTATAAAGGAGAATAGGAACAGAAGGTAACATGCGCCTTGCTTTTGAGTCCACACATTTCTAGTCATTAAATAATTCCAGAAAGTCTCCTAATAGTTTTCAACTTCAATTATCTCTTCCAAAATGGGGATTTTTCCCATGGGTGTACAATCCTGCCTACTGCTGCAGCCTGCCTAGAGAGTTTCTATCTACAATCCATTAAAAGCCTTCTCAAAGCTTTTGTTTGAGACATTTTTTGCTATACTTGAGGTTTCTGTGTAAAACCCAAGTCCTAGAGCTTTGTTCCTAGCCAGTCTTTCAGCAGTGACTAGTGCAAAGAACACCCCATTGGGATGCCCCAGTAAAGAGTAACCACATTCACCCCATTTCTAACCGGCTGACAACTTCCCCCAACTCAACACTTCACTGAATTATTTTTGTTAACAAAGTTGTTTCACCATCTCTGTTTGTCCCACATTTACACAGGTACTACACTGACCTCGTTACAACAACAGGCCACCCTTTAATTAGCACATTTCGTTTCAACTCCACACATCTCTAAAGCAAACCTGATGTTGCCACATGCAAATTTCTAACACAGCTAAGCAATTTTGTACTGCATAATCAGAGCAGGCTCAAGATTAATGAGATAATACACGTACCGTTACAAGTATTAAGAAAACTCACACTTACCTATTTTTAAATCTATCTAGTGCAGCAATACCAAAATAGTACATTTTGGACGCAAAAGGCTTTCGTAAGGCTTCAAGAACATAGCGCAGGGCCAGGCCCAATGCCATATAAGTAACCAGTCCTTTCTCAATTATCCCACCGAAGAGGCAGGCTGTTATGTGCAGCTCTTTATCTGGGTATTGGGGAAAGAAACGGTATTCCTCAAACAAGTTCCTCAGCATACAGTTAAACACTTCTCGTTCCCGTTTTATGTTGGAGTCCTTAAACCTCTGCAGCATTTCCAAGACCTGCAAAGAAATTGGAAATTGTTACCGACAGGTTTGCTTTCTTTCAGCCCTTCTGTATCTTCAGGGGTCAAGAGCGTTCGCACCTACTAAGGTAAACTGCACCGCCACAAGCCAGACTACAAGACAACTGCTTCAAGAAAAATCTCACTTCAGCCAGCAGGGAAGTACATGACTACAAGAAGCTCCCTCCTCAGAATTTAGTTTTCTCCCCTTTCTTTTAAGTAACCATGTTCAGATAGAATTTCTTAGGGACTCCCTACTCCATCGCTTCAAAATTAGAAACTGAAAATTAATGTTCAGTGTCTTCGATAATTTATAACCACCAACATAAAGGAAGTTTGAAGTACTTCAAAGGGCAGGAACAGAGTGATAATTACTCTCATAGAGACCAGCTAAAATAATTATCGAAGCTCTGAAGGTAGAGCTTAAGACACTGTATCTAGAAGTTGTAGTAATTTTTACGTACTTTAAAACCAAATATATTCAAGACCAGTATAATTCATACAGACTGTTCAAAAGCATGCTTTAGCACTTATTTTGAATGCACAAGCTGCCACTCCACAATGAACTCATCCTACTTGGCATCACTTTAAGACTGTGAGACATCAAGTTTTCAAGTCCACAGAAGTCAAAGCTGAACATACATCTCAACCAAGCAGAAGAGCCATGCTGCAGGCACCTACCACCAGCCCTTGATTATCTTCCACTGACATCAATACACAAAGGAGTAATTACTATCAACCGAACAGCAAGTCTCCGGACAGGTGACGCAACAGCTACAGAAGGGAACTCACCTCATCCACAGACATGGTCGGATGTGGGGGGTGGTTGTAAATACGCTGGAAGTAGCTGTTGGCCTCATCATCTATTTCTTTGCTAAAGTGCTGGTTAGCCTCTGGCCACACCTGAGATAAGTCAGCTGGTAAAAGAGGGAAAAGGTATCATGCTCAGAACAACTTCAGGCACTCAAGATGTCATCTAGTCCCTTCCAATTCTTCCACCAACCCATACAAAACTGCCTAGTTCTCCTGAAAAGCAGAATACTTAACCTTTCCAGTCAACAGGAATTGTTATTTAAAGATCTGTTTCAGTACGTTATATTTATGCAACAGAACTGAACCCTAAGATAGGAATTGACCTCATACTGTTGCATTCCTACAACCCACAGCATCCCAAGCTAACCTCAACTGGCAGCTGACGAAGGCAAGAGAGACCACAGCATGCTACACAACACTGACATGCAGACACGCTTTCACACAAACCCTCAGGCCAGCCAGTGAGCTGCAGCCAAGTTCATACTGAATGCTCAAGCCCCAAAATATAAACGTACACCCATACTAGCTACTGCGAAGGAAATGAACTCTGTCCCAACTAAAACTAGCACACCCAGGTAGCTCTGTCTAACCTGGTTAGGAACCAAACCAACCCCCTCTTTCCAGATGCACACACTTCTCTGTGGAGAGCAGGACAACACATTTGTTCAAAACACAGCACCACAAAAGGACACAGAAACACACTCTTCATGCAAATCCGTAACACGTTATATTCTTGTTTTACAACAAGCCTTTCCTTTTTAAGCCCCCCACTGGCCACTTGGGAAGCTTTTAGTATAGACGTTTAGAAGCCCCTTTTTCAGACTAAAGGTGTAATACTAGAGCCACATTTCTAACATTTGCACCTACAGATCCAAGCCTTCCCTGCAGGAAACACAGCTGAACTGCAGAGCAGTCACACATCACAGCCACAGACAACACTACCACTTACAAGGTTTCATCTTACTCTGCTGGAATGTAGGCTGGTTCAGTCCAGATGTGCTCAGCTTCCTTTGCACGAACGGGTCATTATTCACCGCAGGAAGGCCCAGGGCTCCGGTTCCTATGCCAGTCAGGCTACCCGTAGTAAGACCACCTACTGGAAAGCAAACCACTGGTCATCTCGGTTGCACCCTTCACAGAACGTCTTTATCCCTCCCAGCACTTGCCATCTTCCAAGAACTCAGAGCAATACAGACTCAGAACTACCCAGCATCAAGCAATTCTTCACCTCTGTCCCAACCCAAAATAATGCTGCTAAAAAGGTGTCAAAACGCTCACCCCCTCCCGACTCTCAAACTTTTTACCTACTGCAGCTGCACCACTGTGAAGTGCTGTTTCAGCAGTGACCTAGGAGTAGGGACTGCGTAAGTCCCTCCCACAGGACGCAGAGCTGCCTGTCCAGTATTTCAAACCATAACGTGACAGCGCCTCAGCTTTGACGCGTCAAAAATACAGCCTCCACCCAGAGAGCAGTACCTGGAAGCTGTGAAGAGAGTCCTCCGATGCCACTGAAACCTGTGGTCTGGTTTTGGGTGGAAAGAGGGGGGAACGCTTTTGCTGGTGACTGAGGAGTACTGAATGCAGAGCCCAGGTTTGGAGGGAAGCCTTGCATGCTCTGGGTATGAGGAGCAGCCGAGCCACCTAGACTGAGCGATGCCATTCCCGCAAGCGAGTCGATCTGAATGAAGAAAGGAAGATTATACACAGACATCCACAAACCACAATCAAGCTGTTTTTTGGCAGGTTTTGGATTAAGACAGCTACATATCAAAACGGTCCTGAGAAAAGCTTTCTGCATGGTTACTTTAAATTCAGAAATCATCCAGATCGCCCCAAAACATGAGCTCATCTACAGAATGAGATTTCACTTCCTTCTACAATCCCACAAAATCCTGTTCTATCAGAGGCTTTGCAGAAAGGCTGATTGTTCCACAGTCTCTCCTTAAGTGTAACACAACAGTAAACGCTTGTAAGAAGCGGCACGTAGATTTTTATACTTGAATGGTTTATGCAGTCTGAGACCTCAGCCCTCACCAAGACTTAGAGACTATTTCTCATCAAGCTTACAGAGTATTTTTGGCTGTCTGAAGGATCCCATTCTGCCCACTTGTCAGAGGTAAATACCTGAATGCAGTCTTCAATAAAAAGCATTAAGACCTGGGTGATGAGTAGGAGGGAAGGCAAAATACCAGCTGACAAAGCAGTAAGTTGAGCACCCCTGACTAGAAACAGCAGAAAACTTATCTACCCAGAAGACAGCATGACTACAGACTAGTATCTGCTGCTCCACATCAGTTATTTGCAGCAGGTTGACAAGTTATTTGGAGCATCTATTGAGCAACTTCAATATAGCAACAATTTACAAGGAAACTGCTCTCTGGATTTAGTTTACGTAATCTACTGATGCTTCAGAAATTCTTAAATTCTGAATTGCCACTATTTCACGTGGAAAAACTTGTCACCACTTGAAAATCTGCCATTGAATCTAACTGCTAGAAGCAAAACCTATCTGTAATGTGTCGCTCCCAGAGGAGGAAGGGATGATGAGTGGCAGGGAGTAACTTAAATGTACCTTGTTTTTAAAAGAGCAGTTCAGTTGAGAGCTGAAGAGCCCCAGTTATAACAAGTCCTTATGCTCTAGCACTGTTGCTTGGCCCGTGAAGCTACAAACAAGACACATCAGGTTCAAAGGCAGTGCTTAATTCTCAAAAGTCTTTGTAAATTTTAGCACTTTAAAAGAAACCCTCAGTTATTTTAAATAAACCAAATCTCTATCCCTCTTCAGTGCTCCCATCCTGCTATACTTAAGTTAATTCTTACAGACATTTGTGAAGTGAAAGACAGTTCTGAACTACAACCCTCTGGTGTTACTCTGTCGTTACAAGCAAGGTATCTAGACATGCAAGCATAAAACTAAGGGAGCCAAATGATGTTCTACTTAGTCCTGCTGAAAAAAAAACCTAATACTAAATCAACACCACCTTGTAAAAACACAGCACGTTTTCTGTCTACCTGTACAGGAGAGATGGCATCCAAGCTGCTAGCGCTGGGCGGGCGTCCTTTGGGCATGACTCCTGGAGGTGGCTGTCTAGCCTTGTTCATGACATTACTGCAGTTAGCTACCATGGTGAGGATCGTCTCCGACAGCTCCTGAGAAACACTCCTAGAACACAAAAGTAGGATAGTGAGCTATATAACTTCCATGAGAATAAGGCCGCTAACCAACTTTGTTCTCCTACAGAAACAGGGGCCACATTCCACAAACAAACTGCAACACAACCCCGGCAGAAGCTGCATTTTGTTATTTGCAAAACTTGCATGAGAGCAGGCCCCAAGAGAAAGTTATGTTTAAAGAGAAATATTTAAACTGTAGTTCTAAAAAAATCATCTCCAATAGAATATTCCCTTGCTTTCAACAATTCAAATACTGCTTTAGTTACTCCACCATGAAATGACTTGGAGAAAGTTGGCATATGTACCTTCACGGCTCCAAAGGCCCTTCGAAGAGCAGAATATCTACAACAGTCTGTCTGCTGTTGTTGTCCACGTTACAGAATCACAGCATGGTTTGGGTTGGAAGGGACCTTAAAGACCATCCAGTTCCAACCCCCCTGCCATGGGCAGGGACACCTTCCACTAGACCAGGTTGCTCCAAGCCTCATCCAGCCTGGCCTTGAACCCTTCCAGGGATGGGGCATCCACAGCTTCTCTGGGCAACCTGTCCCAGTGCCTCACCACCCTCTCTGGGAAGAACTTCTTCCTGATATCCAATCTAAACCTCCCCACTTTCAATTTAAACCCGTTACCCCTTGTCCTGTCACTACAGGCCCTTGTAAAAAGTCCCTCCCAGCTTCCTTGTAGCCCCTTCAGGTACTGGAAGGTCTCCCTGGAGCCTTTTCTTTTCCAGGCTGGACAAGCTCAACCCTCTCAGCCTTTCTTCATAGGAGAGATGCTCCAGCCCCCGATGGGGGGGGGGGGAGCTCAGCCTCATGAATTAAAACATACAGTAACTGATGCTATGATCCCTTGTCCAAATCTGCTCCTGAAGGCTCCTTTCTGTCTCCACACTTACCACTTGTCATTATTCCCATTCTGAATCTCACTCCACAGAAGGCATCTCCAAAAGAGGAGACACAACATGGCTAGACCTTGGGCTACACACTCAAAGACAAAAAAGCAAGAGAGGTACTAAAATTCGTGTCTCTGAGTTAGAAGACATGCTTCACGCACCAACGCTGAGCCAAAACAGAGACAGGAAACCTACCTACCTAAAGTAGTAATAATCAAAGCCAACAGAAAAAACTCAAAGGCATGGAGTCATTGCACAATTGAGAGCACTCAGTACCTCTTTCCAAAGTGTTCCATGTCTGCCTGCCAGGTTCCCAAACTGAAAGGAAAGCCAGCTCTGCTGCCGACATACCTAACCACAAACATACTAACACAACACTGGCATTTTCCTTTTGGAAAATACAGAGAGTTATTTACAGCTTTCCTGAACTTTAGTTCCACCTTTTTGGGGAGGACAATTAAAGCAGCAGACTCCTCCCTGTAATGTTGCTTTGTTAACTTGTCTGGAGATTCCTCACTAACTCAGTTTCCACAAGCTTTTACTGCACAGCTGTTGGGATGAGGGGAAAAAGAATTAAAAGAGGAACCATTCTGACCATTAGGGCAGGAAAGCAAAGTGCAGATCAGCCTTCAGCTTTGGCAATTATCCCACTACAGGCTACACAGAGTTAAGGGCTTCCAGTTGTTCTCCAAAGCCAGCAATCCATTACCTAGTGTGGGTAAAAGCTCACACGAGGCAGACAGGGGAATCTGAGGACACACCATAGGAGAAGCAGGTTTCCATACAGGGCAACAAACATTTTATCAGCTGCTTCACTAGATGATTCCTTCATATGCTTTAACATCCTCTCACCAGGGCCTACTGTCAAAGACTTTAAAAGCACGGGGCTTAAGGGGATGTGTATCACAAAGCAGTCAGAAAAACTTACCTTCAAAAAACCCCAAAGGACTCTGTTTTGAGAAAGTGCAACCAGACTCGAAGGCAGAGCTCTGAGCATGGCACCTGGTAGGCTCAGCATCTACAACATGTATTTCCCTGCACCACAATGCCACAGTCTCTGAAATCTCAATGTTTAAATGTACGTATGACCAATTAACAGGCAGCACAGGGTTTGTTTCTGATGCAGGAGGCAGTCCAAGAGCACACAGCACTGCAGTTAACCATGGAACAGGACAGGAGAGCTGAATTCACGCCTAGTCACCACACTCAGTCTTTTGCCCTCCCCCTCCCAGCCCCTTTTAGCCCTAGTAGGGGCTAAATTCGCAGACTTTATGCTTAAATACTGTAGCACACGTTAGTAAAACAAATTCCAATCTGCTACAGACAGGTAACATGGCAGCCCACAGGCAAGCCTCAGACAGGCACACAATCTAGTTTGGTATTTGTGGTGACCAGCCAGGCTGCTCATGCTTTGGGGCAAACCACTGACGTTACATCCTGCCATCCAGACAGACTGATGGTTAACTTTATCATATCAAAAGACACACTGCTGTATCAAGATCCAAATGTCAATGTTTTTAGATGGCATAAACCAGCAGGTTTTCATAAAAAGTCCTGCATTTGAAGCAAGTGATATGGAGAAGTGGGCAGGCATGATTTGGTAACTCGATCTTAAAGCTGATGTTCACATTTTCAAGCTCTACATAGAAATATATTCAGGATTCTAACGTAATCAGTGCCATTCCCAGAACTAGGGGAAAACTGCAGGAAGGAGAACTTTGAAACACAATTAAGGAAAGCCAAGGACCACAACCAGGCAGCCAGCTCGAGAGGAACAAAATTGTCAGCTTAAGGGAAGCTCCAGCTTGCTGGAATAACAAGTCCACATCTCTTGCATTTATTATCTGGTTTTGGGTTTTTTTTTTTCCATTTAAACTATTTTTACCAAGCAAGGAAAAGCCTTTCCATTCCCCTAGGCACAGGTAGCCAGAAGCCTCTTCCCACCTGATGCAAGGACTGGGAAGGAATCACAGTTGGACTGTGCTGGACATGACTGCATGGCAGAGGCACTGCTGCCCCTCTCAACTCACTGAGGCTCCTTGAGGGAGGACTTCTCATAAGCAGTTTGTCACCAAATCATGTCCTTGGTCAGCCTATGGCACCTGCAACCACCTTGACTTTGTTTTAAAAACACTCATTAATAAAAGGAATGCTTATTTCTTTTTGAAGCCTCGCTGCCACAAGTGCAGTGCTCAGCAGTGATAAACAAGCTGCCCCAAAAATAAAGAGTTTCAGAACACGCAGGGTCCTGGTGGCTAAGAAAAGCATCCCCCTGGACACAAAATGAGACATAACTACAGCCTAATTAAAGAGCAGGCTCCTAAATCAACAAATTTAGAAGACTGCAGACTTCAGCCAGTGAAGTGGAACAACCCTCCCAGACGTATTTAATATTTAGTGCAGTATTTATCTTCCCGTCTTTGCAACTCCTGCTTCCATTTGTGACTGAACCCCCCGCTAATCACAGCGACGGCTTCATGAAAGACATCCAGGCATTTTCCTCTTAAAGTTCAAAGAGAATAACTAATGGAAAATGACTGCAAGTAGGTCACATTCTTGCATAAAAGGGAATACAAACAGCTATAAAAAGAAACCAAAAGCTGAGAGAATTGTGCCAGTAGAGAACTAGTGGCTTTTGGAATTAATTGAATAACTACAGCTTGGTAACACATTAAGATTCAGAACACAGTGATGTTAGATGCAAGTCAAGACGACTGTTAACTATTAAACATCTACAATCTGGACACGGGAGTATACAAAATAAGGAAAGCAAGTTAATTTGTGAACTGTAGACTCAGAAGATGCACTCTGAGGTGAAAAATAACAGCCAGCCTACAGCACTGGCTAAGGCGAGGGACACAACGTAAGCCTTACATCAGGTAACGTGCACTTGGACAAGCCAGCTCTTCTTGGTGTCAAAATTTAACACCAAAACCAGGACCATCTCCAGCTTTCAGTCTCTCTGGCTCACATGTGGCACTACGCTACACCTCGTTACCTCTGAAGTACTGCTGCAGTTAAATACCATCTTGATCCCACAGTATGAAGAAGTGGCACCACAAACAGTTTACAACATTCAGTCATTTTTACTGAATGTTAACACAATATTTAAAAACTGATTTGTCCCATTTCAGTTGCCAGTCTGCAGCCTACCTCCCCCTCCAGCAGATAAACACAGCTCTCCAGGACCCACGCTTCCTTCTGCTGGACTTTCTAAACAATCTGCTCTGCAAAAGATCTTAGATATTTTCCAACCTTTGACTACTCTTGAGTGTCAGTTTACTTCAGATGAAGCCAAGAGAAGTTACACATGTCTACTTTCAGTCTCAATTACATTACAATCACCACGTATCACTTTTCTCCTACATATAGGGACTGCATTAGCCCTTTCCACTGGGCAATAACCACACACGGAGGCATTTGCTTAACAAAATTCCAAAATCCTTTATACAGTCACTGTTTTCCAAGGAGCTGCTCCATTCTGTAGTTACAGCCTGTATCCTGGGCTGTATCCAGAACAGCGTGGTCAGCAGGTTGAGGGAGGGGATTCTCCCCTTCTACTCTGCACTCATGAGACCCCACCTGCAGTTCTGAGTCCAGCTCTGGGGCCCTCAACATCAGGACACAGACCTGTTGGAGTGAGTCCAGAGGAGGCCATGGAGATGCTCCGAGGGCTGGAGCCCCTCTGCTATGGGGACAGGCTGAGAGTTGGGCTTGTTCAGCCTGGAGAAGAGAAGGCTCTGGGGAGACCTTATAGCACCTTCCAGTGCCTGGAGGGGCTACAAGGAAGCTGGGAGGGACTTTTTACAAGGTTCTGTAGTGACAGGAAAAGGGGGCAAGGGGTTAAATTGGAAGAGGGGAGGTTTAGATTTGATATCAGGAAGAAATTCTTCCTGGAGAGGGTGGTGAAGCACTGGCACAGGTTGCCCAGAGAAGCTGTGGATGCCCCATCCCTAGGAGTGTCCAAGGCCAGGCTGGATGAGGCTTGGAGCAACCTGGTCTAGTGGAAGGTGTCCCTGCCCATGGCAGGGAGGTTGGAACTGGATAGTCTTTAAGGTCCCTTCCAACCTAAACTATTCTGTGATACCATTTTGTCCACATTATAGTCCCGTATCTAAACAAACCAGGATTTGACTGAGCAGCCCTCTCCCAGTTACCAAGATCACCTCACCTTTTTGATGATAACAACAAGAACATAAGGGCTTGAAAGTGTAACTACAACAGAAGTTTCAGTGCAAAAGTAAACATACTACTGAATCTATCCCTGCAAGCTTATATACACTCATTAACCCCCTTCTCTATGTGAAATTCCAAACCAGCTGTAACCAGGTGCCAGCAAACAAGTTGCAAGATTACACATTCAGCGTAAGCAATATAATCCTTACCCAGCACACGCTTGCAGACATGCCAGCATAGTCGCCAAGGTTTCTGGAGGAAGCTGAGCACTTTTGGGTTGATCTTTTTCTGGAGCAAGGCCACCCAGGATAGATGGGCATCTTCTCTTTAAGAAAGTCATGCAGGCCTGGATGAAGGGCTCCTGAGGAAAAAGTGTTATCTTAATCTCCCAAACTGCACCCAAGTCACTATTTCAAACTTGGCAATTGCACCGTGGAAAGAATTGCACTAAGCTATTATAGTTCAGTGAAAAAGTTGAACTATCAGACCATGGACACTTTACACAACTTTAAAAGTACTTATAAAATTGTTAAAAGTGACTCAAGTTAGTCACTGATAGAGTGCAGAAATAAAGAGAAAAATCCTGCTTTACCCCATGCTCCCGAATTTTATCTGTGAGCCATTTGTCAAGTTTGAGGTATTCCCGTCGAGAGGCAAGTGCAGCAAGGTCAATAACAAAGGCAAATGGAGTACCATTTAGCAGCATTGACAAGGCCTAAAGAAAAAAAATCAGAAGACTACTAGTGAAGACACAAGGATACCCTCTCTCCCTTCTTTTCTAACCCCCATACACTTTTCAGTAAAGAAGTCTTGCTCTCACATGCTGCGATGCTTTGTCAGCAAAAAGACAGGTACAATCGGCTTCCCCTACAGCTCGCTCGTGAGACGGAGCGGCACGATCTCTCAGGTGAAGTCACGACCCTACCTTCTTTGAGGCGACCTTGTGCTGACAGTTTTAAATCCCTCTAGAGGAAAATCCACCAGCAAGTGGCCGAGAGCTACCAAGATGATATTGCAACAAAATTGATCAGAAGAGCCTAGTGTCTCCCTGCAAACAGGCCTCAAGCCCTTTAGAGCCACTGTGCATACATGTGCTCCAAGCATTCATCTTCAAGCACAGTAACTGCTACAACAAAGCTGACTCCAAGCAGCAGCTGGTTGCTCTTTGAGACACCCAATTATTTTGCATCTAACTTCAGGAGGTTATGAAGGCCTCAAAGAAGTCAAGTCGCAACTTTGAGTCTCTTCTGTGAACGTGTAAAGAACCGACAAGTATTAATATTCTAGCCCCATTCCATTAAGCTTAGCAGTGCCACATTTACACGAATAGCCCGAAGGATGTATTCTACACTCCCATTTCAGTTGTATTCAAGGATGAAACAGTTAAAGCTCTTCCTGGATTTGCAGTAGCAATCACTTCTATTGCACAGCTGCCCAAGTTACTTGTCAGCTAGGTCACGATAGCCAACTCCACAGCAAACGCCTTGGGTTCGCAACAGGACAAGCTAGAAAGCATCTGTAGTCAGATACCACAACTCAGCTGAAGAGCACTTGAGTCACAAGAACATGGGCTGGTTTTGGTTAGCAGTGTTTTTATTTTTTAGGATGAGGTACAGAAACAACAACCGAATCCAGACATGCTTAAACAAAGTAATCCTTACTAAATCAGTCACTTCCAAGTTAAGCTTAGCCTTTGTTAAACAAAGATGAGCAAGTCTGCATAAGCTACCAGACAGAAAATAATGGCTGCGCTTTGCAGAACTCACCTTCAAGTCTTGCGCCACATCCAGAATACGTGACAATTTCGCCTGGTCATACTGCTCCCCTCTCATGTACCATTCTGCCATTGCATGCATGATAAGCTGACGAATCGAAGGAGACTGACCCTAGGGAGAATTAAATTAGGATTGTACTTCACGCCTCTAGGAAAAGGATCAATTGTGTGAACATTAAGTAGGGTATTTTACTTCTAAAGCTTAACATGCAAGTGTATTTACTCTGACTTCAGAGCTTAGCTTCTGAGCCGGGGTCTTTGTGCAATAACCACCCATCCAGAACTACACCTGAAGGATGAAGAATGACCATGAATGCTAAGTACATACATCCCCATCTCTTTCCTACCACCATACAGGTCTAATTCCTCTCAATTGTAGACAGATTGCTTTAGGAATAGGACATCATTTACAAAATGTGGTGCCTGACATGATATTCTGAAGCAAGAAGTGCAGCATCACACCTTAACATAGAAAACACAGTTATCTAGATCTTTGTCCACACGGGGTCAACTTTGAACTACAACACAACTAAGATCTTGATGGCCGCAAGGGCTTTGCTTAGAGGTTCCCCCATCTGGGGAAGTTAAACATCCTCAAGTTGTGGAATGGCACCATGTCACACAGCAGCCATCATTCTCCGCTTTATTCTGAGGCCTACCCTGCAGAAAAAATGGCATATGCTGCCATTTCATGACCTTATGCAAAAAAAAAAAACTCTATTCTACTCCCCATTCTTCAATTTAGAGACTTACCAGGTAAACCCTAAAACCTCAGAGGTTAAATGTAACCTCCAAGGTCTTGGTTCATCCACATTCTCTGCAAAATTACCCTTAACTCTACTGCAGATTCCCTCCCACTCCAGAGGCTTCCTCTGCCTTAAGTTTCCTCCGACTCCTGTTTGCTTAACTACCAGTGGACACAATGACAAAGGCCATACCAAAAGGCAAATCCATAAACGCCTATTTGTTTGCCATTTAAAAGCATGGGATTTGCATATATCATTACCCTGTCTCTCCTTGAAAAAGGTCAGCAGCCAGTCTGAAGTTTTCTGAAAACACCTTAGACTTAAAACTTCTACTGGAAGTAGGTTTTTTATACCTAGAATAGCCTCCATCTTTATAAGAAGTACAATGGAGATTATTTCGGTTTAAGTCTCCTCACCTCTTACTGCTTTAAATTTCTACACTTTGTGTGTGTGAGGTTGGGGAGAGGTTGTTGCTGTTGTGAGGTTTTTGGTGTTCTTGTTTTGTTTGTTTGCGGTTTTGGTGTGGGGCTTTTTTTGTTTTGGTTTGTTTGTTTTAAATCAAACTTTGGGTACTGAAAAGTTCAAGTCAAGCCTATCTTTGGTCTCTGCCTTTCCAGGAGTATATTCTCAGTGAACATCATTTCTTTGTTCTGAATACATTTCCTGCAAGAAAATCAAATCCCAGCAGTCTGCTTCGAGATGGGGAGGAGACAACTTGTATTACTTTGCATAAACCACTGATAATTTACCTCCTGGGTTTTAAAATACCTAGCTCATAAACCAATACAAGGATTGTTGTTCTAACTGTTCAACCCATTTACAAGCTGTCAGCAATGCGAACAAACTACAGGCACACTCCAGTGAAAACACTCACCTGTCCATGCCACGCGTAGTGCAAAATGATGGCAGAGTTGGGATGGTTGCCAAGGAAAATTGGCATGAGCGTGGAGATGAGTTCATGGCGCAAGGTATGCCAGGACGTGTTGATCTGCAATAAGGCCAATACCAACATATCTGGGCAATGCTTGATAGGAAAACTGAAGAGCTGCTTAACCTGCTCATACTGTCCCACTTCCGCCAGTCGTAACAGAGATTCGATCAAATCCAGGCTCTTCCTAACGAAAGAAAAGAACAAGTAAATAGACAAGGCCCCCCCGAGTTACACAGTAGTTAGCTTTCCTGGATTCCAGCATTTTGTAGCAACAACGAAGACAAAATAACCCTCGCTGCAAACACCCTGGTATTACAATTAAGCCTACAAGAGCATTCTTAACCATGAAAAATCACTCCCTTTTTTTCAGAAAACAATGTATTTGTTAGAAAAGAGGGAGAATTGAAAATTGATGTTGGAAAAAACACAGCTTGAGGTGGGTCACTTGGATAACCGAACTTGAAACATACCTTCCAGAATTGGAATACACTGCTTTTCTACACCTCAGAGTCCCCACCTGTGAAGCTTCATGAAGATATTCTACTCGTTTTGTCTGTTTTACAGACAAGTAACCACTGCCACCTTCTCCCACTTTACTTATATTCCCCATCCTCCAATTCCCTGTTTTGAGCCATACAGTGGAAAAAGCAGCAAATATCTTCGCAGAAATCAGCTACACAGCTGTATCAAAAGAAGGGGTGTAAAGGTAAGCTCAGAAAGTCAAACTAGTCCAGCTTTAAGGCAATAACTTAGCAACAGCTATAGAAATTTACTGTTTAAATCCCAGGGCTTCTTTCATACAAGTAGAGCAAGTTCCTTGAATGTCATCCTGGGAAATACAGATGTAAATTCCTACCTCCTCTATCGCCTCCTCTCAGCTCACAGTAGCTACCAAAATACATTAGCAGAAATCCTCCAGACAGCCAGAAGAGTCCAATAAAAGCAAGAACTGGCAGTACATTTTCACATATTAGGTAAGTACATAGGGAGTTCTGATAGTACAGGAACTGTCACCAATCCAACAGTAAACGAACACTAACGGCTGACCTACCGGGATATACACAGCTACAAATGAACCTGGCTGCGTGAAGACAGCCCAGACCAATAATCTTACTGGAACCCTAGGTACGAAAAGCAGTGGAGAGCAGGTTTACCATGTGGCAATTTCTCGATTGTCGTCCTCTGGGGGTGCTTTCAGGATGTCTGTGGCAACAGTATGACAAGGGTAGTCAGCAAAACAGAAGATGTCAGGGTTTATAAGGGAATGTTGAATGAAGGAGAGCTGGAATAGAGACATCAAAAATAGTTTAGATACTTAGTTTCAGATTCCTTCCGCTTTATCAACTCTCACTTTTCTGAGAACACCACAAATCAAGAAAGCAGTAGAAACGACCCAAGATTTACTACCAGTGTGTTTTACATAACACTGAGCTTCATGCTTCCCCCAGGATGCTGGAAAGCAGCAGCTGTGGGTGTGCTGAGGGTACTTGTTTACACACAGCTGTAGCCTTTTTGTGTAACCAAGCAAAAAACCTCAGAGCACAGCCAAGCAGCAGCAGTTCTACGCTCAGCTGCCTCACACATCAGAATGCTAAAACCAAAGGTGTTGTCACACTTGGATAGCAAGTGACCATCTCCTCCCAAACAAAGCAGACACTGTTCAATTAACAGACTTACTTCAGTAACATACCTGAGCCAAGTTCTCAAGTGTGGCTTGTCTAAAAACTCACATTACCAATCCACGCTTGCCATTCAAGAGACTCAGGAACTTTGCCAGCGTTGTGCAGATACCGCAGAAGCATCCGTAAACCTACCTGGCCCTCTGCGTGCTTCCAAGGTCTATAAATGGCATTAACTGGAAACACTTCCATGCCCAGCCCCCTCTGGATGCCAAACACTACAATATGCAGGCCCTTGCTGTCACGAATCTGAAATCCTGGATGGTCCAATTCATAGGTTACTACTTTGAAGTCCAGGCTAGGATTCTGCAACCAGAAAAATGAGAGAGGAGCCAGCCTTGAACATTACAATCTTCAGCACTGCCTTGTAGGAACTTTTCTTTACCACTATTTTATCCAGCTTAACATCCACCAGACTTTTAATTGAAAGGGTTTTGTTTTGGGAAGAACAGGATTTCGATAGTTATAAGAACGCAAAGCAGGTTAATGTTTGAAACTATCCTGAGACTGCACTTCCCCCCAGCACTACAGGCAGTAGCTATCTATCCTTCCAGACACTGCATTCACAGGTCTTCAAAAAAGCCCCCAAACACCCCAAATACACAGCTTCTTTCTTAGCATGCTAACTCATTCCTTTTGCCCTCCAGTCAAGGGGTGGAAGGGTCTGAGCCGCTGGCAAGCAGAATTTGCTTTACCTTTTGAAGAAGTACACTGAGTACTCTGTAAGAAGTACTTACCCTACCCCACCTACTAGATTTTAGTGTGAAACCATAGAGATGAAGAGGCTTGGAGGGAACTATGGCCATTGCATAATATTTGGCCATAGGAACCACTCCTTTCAGGGACAGGTGAGCACCAAAGCCAGGTTGGTTTTTTTTCTGAGCCTCAAAACATACAACTGAGACTCCGGCACAGATTAGGGGAGGGGGGGGCGGAAATCACTCAGTTTAAGGTCAGCAAAGGAAATTGTACTCAGGTTTTACTGAGTTCACTACAAAAATTGCTGTTTATGAAGTGATGGAAAAACTTTCCTGTTTCTGAAAAGTTGTCATATACAAGAAGCATTTATGGTTTTGGAATGAGCAGCTACAAAAATATTTTGTTTCATTTTCATCCTTAATGCCTACAGTGAGAAGCTTTTCAGGATAAAGGTGCCTGATGCCCAGCTTTCTACTGACAGAAATAAGTTCCTGAAACAAAACAAAACAAAACCCACCCTTCAAGAGGGTTTTTGCTTGGAGTACATGGGAGTAGTGGGGAATAAAGTTGCACCCATGTTACCCATTCAGGCAGCTGTTATTTTCCATAATTCCTCAAAATACTCTTGTTCATGAAGAAAAAAAAAATCACTTAGGTACAGCAGTCCAACTACATTAATGAGATTCAAAGCCATTTAAGGGGCTAGGTGCTTGAAAAGCTTTACGTTCACGCCGGACTTGCCCCAATTTCAGATATTCCTCATAAAAGACAGATGTTCACAAAACTTACCAGCTCTTTGAGAACATCGATTAAGACCTCCACATTCCAGGTATGGGCTTGTGCTCCATCACTTTTATCCTTCCCGTCACTCCAAATCCCCATCTTCATCCTTAATGCCTACAGTGAGAAGCTTTTCAGGATAAAGGTGCCTGATGCCCAGCTTTCTACTGACAGAAATAAGTTCCTGAAACAAAACAAAACCCACCCTTCAAGAGGGTTTTTGCTTGGAGTACATGGGAGTAGTGGGGAATAAAGTTGCACCCATGTTACCCATTCAGACAGCTGTTATTTTCCATAATTCCTCAAAATACTCTTGTTCATGAAGAAAAAAAAAATCACTTAGGTACAGCAGTCCAACTACATTAATGAGATTCAAAGCCATTTAAGGGGCTAGGTGCTTGAAAAGCTTTACGTTCACGCCGGACTTGCCCCAATTTCAGATATTCCTCATAAAAGACAGATGTTCACAAAACTTACCAGCTCTTTGAGAACATCGATTAAGACCTCCACATTCCAGGTATGGGCTTGTGCTCCATCACTTTTATCCTTCCCGTCACTCCAAATCCCACTGCCAGGAGCCGAAATAGACTGCAAGTTAAATACACTCAATCAAATACTAGTTAAAAATAAAGCAGTCTCACAAGCCTCTAGCTATAAAACTCCCTGCACTGTGAAGGTAAAGCAGAAGTTCTGACCAGTAACGACACCACCGGCACACTTAGGAGAATCAAGGAGGTATTAGACATTTACAGAAGAACCGTTAGAAGTGTAAGTGGTAAATAAAAGCAATTCTTAAGTCACCAGAGGCTAGCATTTTAACTCCTTATTTTCTGCTGACTGAAACATATAATCCCCACCCCAGCAGGCCACTCACTTGTAATGGAATACCATCCGTCAACCCCGAATGAGTCCGAGCCATCATCCCCAAAACCCTGGCAACCTGGGCAGCCGTGACTTCCCGAACACCAAACTGCATGATTATGTTGCGACATTCTTCAACACTAAGATGCAACAAAACAGAGATCTTAATAGAAAAGCAGGTTTCACTGTGGCACAACGTAAGAGGCAAAGCAAGACCTGTGAGTACAGCTGGACACCACGGACTGCTGGGAAGAACTAACTGCAAACTGTAAAATATGATCATTTGCTCAGGTTGTTAGTCAAATTATCCACCATAACACGATTCTGGGACAAGCAAGAAGAGAAATTCAGCAGAAAGTCTGTGCAATTATTTCCATGAAACAGCATGCCCTGTATTCAGTTCAACGCTGGGTCTACTTAAGTGACAGACGTTTTACAGGCTGTGCTCTGTCTAAGCAGCAGCACAGGGTAGGTTTTGCACTGTCTTCTGTTAAAATCACTTCCATGCACTGACCTGTGACACGGCTTCAAAGGCTGAAGTGTTCTGCTAGCTAGACGTGAAACAAAGGCTCCCAGACCGCACGTCTCAAACCGGCCTGCACCGTTCAAAGGCTGTGACGGTACATACGCCCCGTAGCCTGATGCAGCCACAACGTTTCTGAGCAGAGGTCACCAGCAGAAAACTTCAGGGAGCCAAAGAGCAGACAACGAGCAGGTGCTTATGCTCAAATCACATTTTAGAATGGAGGGCACTTTTGGCAATTTGTTTCACCTTGCAAACACTTCCTAGTTAGGCCAATAAGATTTATACAGCCTCACTACAGACCAAAAAGTTTTATTAACTGGCACATGTTAATAAAGGAAATTTTCAGTATTTTCTAACACATTTACATTGTGTTTCCTTCACTGTTTGAACAGAAACTTATATTAACATCTGAGATTTGATCATTATTTAAAGTACTAAATGACCTTTCTTTTAAAACACAGAATCATTTACTTCTCGTAGCTCACGCTTAAGTGAATCACCTTAAAAACAACCCCGAAGCATTACGTTCATACTGAGGGCTAAGGCCCTCTTGAAAACCAGCCATGCACTTGCAGGCTCCTGTTACCACTACTGGCATTACAGCACTATCCTAAATCCTCAAAAACAGCATTCAAATTGAGCTGGATTTGTGCAGATAGATATCCAGCAGGAAAACCTTTTAATATGCTCCAATTAACTACTCGATAGACAGCTTCTGACTAAAGTCTAGCTTCTCCTTCCACTCTTCCAGTAATTATTCCAATTGGCACATGTGTGTAAACAATCAGCCCACGTAACGCAATACACGTGCTGTAAGCAAAGCTCGAGCCCTGCCCACAGCACGCCTGCAAACCCTCACAGCTCCACGGACAACAGCCCCTTTCACACAGCTCCAGCGAGGCAGAGCTCCAGCAAAGACTGATGCAGCTGTCGGGATGCTCTAGCAATTCACTGTCATTAGATTCCAATTCACTGTCATAATTAGATTGTACGGCTCCAAATAATGTCCACTGTACTGCGTATCACACTGATCAAAACCCAACAAAAAGCTGCTGCTGGTCAACCCTCTTGAGGCAAGATTACCACGTTTGGTTCTCTCGTAATCTATTCCATGTGAACAGGGAGAAAACTGCAGTCTGCCAGAAGAGAAGTTCTACCAAAGATCTACTTGGAATTTATGCCTACCTCAGCGCTTTGGGTTTACTTAAAAAAGGGGTGATGGTCAAATTCTTATTAAATCTCCACAAGGAATTTTAATACCTTTACCTAGCACTTCTTACCATCACAAAATTCTGCACCACCTCAACAGACATGCTATACACATTAGGAAAAAGCAAGGTATAAACCAGGAATCAAAACAAATGACCTTATAATATACTTAATGAGGTTCTAATGAGGAATGCTTTAAGTGTTCTTCACCTGTTGCCTCAGGAAGCAAGCAAAAGCCACCACCATGCAAGACACTTGAAAAATACATTTTCCTACAAACCTCGTACAAAAGCCATAGCCAACTTCTTGCATGAAATCTGCCAGAGAACTCTCCATCATGGTTTTGGCTATCCCTCCAGAATCAGGCAGGATCCTGTCCATTAGAATGTCCCGTTTTTCAGGGTATAGAAGTGGTGCAAGCACCACAGGGCAACGCTCCTGGGGAAAATCTGAAAGCAAGAGTAACAATTCAAAAAACCCAGCACACCAGTTGCATGCAAGTAACTGTTTAAAGTAACCTGAGTGCTGTGCTAGCTTCCCTGCTGCTGCAGGAGTCGCAGGGGCACTCACGCAGCATTCCTCCACCCCACCTCCCAGTTCTCTACTGCCACTTGAATATTCCTAGAGAACAATGCAGACGAGACCAGGTTCACACAGGTTCACTGCGGCTGCCCGAAGGGCTAGCAGCCGTGCTGGTGGCAAGTTTGGCACGAGACGGTCATTGACAGCAGCCATTCAGAAAAATCCCAGAGCAGGAAACAATACGGCAGTAGAGCAAAAGCCTCCGCTCCAGATCTGGAAGTATTAGGGAACAAAGGAGCTGCTACTGAGTCTACCAAATCTAAACCAGGCACTTGGGCATGGAAAGCGAGAATACTCCCCTCTTCCTCCCAGGGAAGCAAAGTTTGAGAGACACAGCAATGAGAGGATCAGATGCATGGGTGGGAGATTTGATCACAGCGGAAAAATGTAAGGACACCTCAGACGGGTCTTCCTGAGACAGTATTATCTTTAAGATGATGCATCATGCCTCCATACCCCTTGGGGCCAGAGAAGAGTTTCCAATTTCCCAAAGCAAAGTGAGCAGAACTGCAGAAGCTAATACACTTACTTTCATGAAAGTTAAGTACGAACTAAGGAGCTACACTTAAATAAAACAAGAATTTTGCTCTTGTATAAAGGGTGCCTTTCTCCAGGTCTGTGCAGGGACAAGGAGTGGGTTGAGTTAAATTCAGTTAGCTTTGAAACCAAATCTTCCTTATTCTGCTGGCTTTACAGCAAACACTCTTGTTTCAGAAAGGAACAGGCTACCAGTTCACAGCTTATCCATGACATCCCCTGCCATCACACAAGGACCATGAAGGCTTCCAGGCAATGAACTGGTTTTATTCAAAGCTGCTCCCCTCACTGTGTTAGTGGTTCCTCATAGATCTGCACCTAAACAGCCTAGTGCTGAAGATCTACCTATTGGAAATGTTAGTGTATACTCCTTGCTTACACTGTAAGGAGTTCAAGTTTTTCTACTACAGTGCACTGAGCTGCATTAGTTAATTCACAAATACCAGCAATCCACAAAATACCAATACAAGGGAGCAAACCCAGACTTGAATAACCCCCTGCTTAACACCCATTTATCACAGCTTTTCAAAAACCCCACACATGAGAACACATTACTGTTCTTTGAAAGAAAAACATTATGGCCTGCTGCCGGAAGAGTGGTATTTTTCTGTCAGGTTAGAGTTATGAAAATTCACGGACTTTTACCTGACTGAGCTCCCCACCATTTCAGCAGCAGTCTGTACTGACAGTAACTTACAAAAAGAACGTATTAAAGTTAGCATTTAGTCAGGCTTCCAGAACATCGCCGCACTTACCTCTACGTAATGTTTTGAGGAACGCGTCAATCTGCTCCTGTCCTACCCCAAAGGCTCCCTTCTGCCCAAAAAGGAGATGGGAGAGGAGAAGGTGCAGGACCTCTATTGCAATATCTTGGAAGCCACCTTCTTGATTTCCACTGACGTCGGCGTCAATGTAAGAGCGCAAAAGGTCCGGGAGTTTCTGTTTGATAAACTGGGCAGCTTTTGAAAACGAGAGAGGCTGGAGTCAAAACCTGCCATTTCTTTCTAACATGAAGACTATTTAGCTAGGTACCACTCTCTGAGTTTACCACAAACCACAACAGTTCAGATTTAAACAGAAGTCTCAATCCACACCCCAGAGCCCAAACATTAGCGAACAACTAAAAGGAAGATATCACAGTACGTCAATTTGATTAATTATCTCGGAAGTCGCTCGTGGAAGGGACCTCCAGCGTCATAAAAGACAAGATGCCTGTGCTGTTTATTGCCCCTCTCAAAACCGTGTTAGAGTTCAATAGGACTACGGACTGCAAGGTCCTGCATTTCTCGGGTCACACAGGCACACACCCACCCATCTAGAAAGCCCACTGCCTAATAAGAAAAAAGGTGTCCCTGCTGCAGTGTTTTGGGAGCTTCACTTACCAAAACCTCGTAGATCCGAGCTGAAAGAGTTCAGTAAAGCGAGACCAAAAATCACCTACAAAACAAGAACAAACATCATAGTAAGGGGACATCATCCTTTCTAACAAAGCTTAGCCAAAACCCATCTATTTCAAAAATATTTTAATGTTCACCTACCTCTTGAACTTTACTTAATTTGATGACTTTACTCAATTGGGCAAACAAATGGGGTGAAGGCTTTAGACTCTGAAACAGGTAAGAAGAGTTAAATGGAAGCTGTTATGATTAGTCTCGTCCTTAACGTGGCAGGCTATCTAGAGCCCACATGCAGGCCTGCAGTATTCATAGCTATTCTGCTGTAGGTTAACACAAACCTCATGAGGCTAAACAAAGCATCTTTGGAACTATTTTTGGATACATCTAGACTAAATGTTTCTTCCACATATTCCACTCACTATTAAACCCCCATCATGGCTTTCATACTGAAACAGAAGCACTAATGATTGATTTTGGTCCTGGCTGCCACAAACAAGCCATAAAGTACATTAGATAAGCTTTAAAATTAGTCTGCAGTCATTCCAAGTGACTGAACAACTTGCTCAGTTTAGCAAAAAGAAACCCACCTACTGGGCAATACTTTAGAACCACTCATTTCAGCCATAAAAAAGAAACCCACGAGGAAAAACACAAGGGAAAGCAGCTGGCTTCCTACAGACCAATTCACTGCAGTTTCTGACAGGGGGATCCCCTTCAAGCAGCTCACAAACCTTCTGATAGTGCAACGGATTGTCAATGGCGTAGGACAGCGTCGAGATAAAGTTTGGTTTTGTAATCAGCGACGCACACTCCTGGATCAGAAATTGAGTCTGAAAAAGAACAAGGTAACTTGAATGCTCATATCGATCTGTAACAGGACAATAAAACACAACTTTCTACTGTTCACTGCATGCGGTAAAACTAAACAAAGATAAGGTGCTTAAGTCTTAAGTACTCAAACCCTCATTAACTGGTTACTTTTCATTCAAGTTCTCTTCAGGTTTAATTTGGTTTTCCTTTTAAGGCTGAAAAAGTGATCAAACATTCTCCACCATGTGTGCAATGTTTCATTTTCTGTAAGCATCCTCACACATTACAATACACAAAGAACATTTAATTCCTGTTTATGAGCTAAAAAGTCTGTGGCAAAGGATGACTTGCTTAAGGATGAAAGCAATCCTGAGGACAGACATAGCCAGCACCAGAAGTGCCAGTTAGTGGATTTGGACCAAAGTTTTACAACACAAAGAAAGGCTTTCAAAATCCACTGCCTGTGGCAGAAGGAGCAATTGTACTGAACCCATCTGTTTTTCCAGATCAAGGGATCAGAAGCGTCAGCTATCAACAATTTTTTGTCTTCTGAGTTGAGGACTGGCAAATGTGCTGGCAATTGAAAGGCCATATACCAGAAAAGAAGTTTGCTTGAAGCTACTACCTCTTAACCTGTCTCTGTGCTTAAAGTGGATCAAGTCCTACCGCAGATTTCTAACAACTGAAACTGGTAAGTGGATGCCTCAATGCAAACTTTACCTGATGGAAATCTTTGCCACTGCTTTTACCATCGCCACTGAAATCCACGTGCGAGAATAGGCAGCGTAGTAAATGCCTGTCTGCCTCGGGACCGTGCCTATTCACAATCTGGAAAAAATAATTCAAAACACAAGTTGGTAGCAAAGAGTCATGATGGAGCAAAGGCTGGGTCTGGTACTGTGGATACAGCAATACTGTGGTTAAGTCAGCTACAGTTTAAACAAAAACTGCTAAGAATGTTCCTTTTTAATTGGTAACCTACAAACCAAGTTGTTAACCCTATTTGCAAATGAAAAGTATAAACTAAGAGATAAAGAATGAATCTAGAAACAAGTCATTGACACAGAAGCCATGCATTTCATGGGTAGTAGTCTTGAAAGGCCACTTAAAAAGGGCCTTTCAAGTCAGGCAGAGGATGACTTCAAGCTTCTCTGCCACCAAAGCAGCCCCAAATCCAGTGTCACAGCATCCCTTTTCCCCATTTTTTCCCAGAGCTACAGTGCCAAACTGAGCAGGAGGTAAGCCTTGGGACAGCAGGCACCTCTGAGCTACGCCTGCACAGCAGGACGTTATCCCTGAAACAAGCCACCATACAGCATTCACTGATCTTGCAAGCACCTTCCAAGTTATCGCCTGGTCATGACTGACTTGGCCACCATTATTCCAATGTCTTTGAAGACATACAGGGAATATGACACAGGAAGCATTTCCTGCCATATACAGAAAAAAGTTCATCTCCAACTTCTTCATTAGCAAACTTTAAAATCAAATACCACATGAAAACCTGCAGTTGAGACATTTTACCAAGTCTTCCCCTTGTCACTGAGCTCATTCAACTGAATTCTATACGTCCGTGTGCTGGATTCAGCCAGGAAA